AATTAAGAGCCTGAGCAAACATTTAGTTGCCTCTAAATATGAAGCCTGCAGCTACCTCTGCCCAGCAGCACTAGTGTAGTGTAGAGCTGTCCAGCTGGCTGGAGTTACTGCCAGGAGTCTTGCTGCAGCGCTCTTTCAGCTAAGTCATGCTAATTTGGGGGACATAAGTTGTAAATGTGTAGAAATGTGGTTTTGGTCAGTGCTGAATAACATAAGTTTACAAATCAATACCTGCTAGATCACTTTAGAAACATACACGTTCACTGATCACTTCTGTTAGTTGTTGGCATTTTATGGTTTACTAGTTTTTAATCCATTTAATATGTGGTGCTAGTTTTGTATGTAAGCTTCTTGATCAAAATAGTGTGTCAAGCATTCAAATGTCTTCCTGAAATGCCTTAGAGAAACTTATAAAAGCAGTAAAACAGGTTAACTTGGAAAAGTCTTTATATTCCATTACTTATGTCAACTAGCGTTTAATGTATAAATGTCCTTTATTTATATGTTTGTTCCTGATATTCCATATAGTCTGCCTCATAACTTTTTTTTCTGCCATGTCTTTTAACTAAATAACTGGTCTTATTATTGGCTTACTTTAAATATTATCACATTTTTATTTATTTTGGTTTAGCCTTTGGAACTTTACTGGGCTTTTTTTTGGTCGTTTCAAATACTGTGGCGCAATCTGGAAAACGCCTTCATGAATCTTTTGAAGCTTCATCAAAAGAATTAAAGTTTGATTTTGTTGAATTGGAAAATATTTCATTATAACAGACTATGAAATCATCACCTAGTATTTTCTCAAATACATAATAAAAGAATTTTTTCTTTTTTTCTTTCTATATCAGCTGATGCACTACCATTTAATACGTTAGCCATGTTAAAACTCCTTTTGTTGTGAACATACTTAAAAGAAGAAAGATTTTTCTTCCTTTTCACCACTGATGATTTTTTTGTTGTCCTTACACGTTTTTCTTACCACTTTACATTTACTGTAATTGCTCCAGTTTTTCTTTCATCTGTTTATTTAGGTGTAGTGCTTTTTTGATTTTTATTTCCGCTGTAATAAGGTTGTTCTTAATTAACACAGTGCTTTTCAAATAAAGGATTTTGGTCTTCTCAGCAGCTAGTGAAATTATTTGGCAATTCCTAATAGTTGCTTGTTTGAATTCAGAAGGGCTAGGACCGGAGGTAAAAGGCTTAATTTATGCAAGTGTTTCATTAAAAGGAATTTTAAAAATTACTGTATATGTGGTTGAAGAATATTCCCTCCACAGGCGTGCATTAAGATTAAAGAGGTTACTTTTCTAATTCAAACAGTATTTATATAATAATGATGGATGAGTCAAAGCACTTCTATATGTGAAATGCTCCTTTATTAACAGTTGATCTAGTTTAATGTTAGTTTCCTCAAATGAGTATCATTTACACGTTGTGCTCTAAATTGCATTCTAATTTGTCTCCAAATCCTATCAGAAGAGTTAGCGCATTCATTTTAACATGTGAAATATTCAGGAATCTGTCATAGTTTCTCTTTATTCCTCAAACTCATTGTCAGTATTTTCACATTAGACTGTAGTGCTGACGCTAAGTGTTGCCAGCAGATAATGTATGGATATGATTTATTTCTCGTTCTAAAATACTTCTAATGTTCTCTAATAACTTCTTATTAAAGTGTTTTATATCACTGAAATAACTTGTCTTTGTATTATTACTCTTACAGCTTCATTATTTTTCAGCAGTAGCACATTATCTTGAATGATTTGGGTAATTTTTAAAACAAATTGCTCTCTTATATGTATGTACCTTTTATTAGTGGGATACTGATTTGTTTGGTGGCTATAACTGTTCTTCGTTGTGCTGAGTTCATTGGTTATTTCCCAGGACTTAAATTGTTTTCACCTTCTTATTAATGATTTGCTGTTTTGAAAATAAGTATATTTCTGTGACTTTGGTAAGTGAAGGACTTCAATTATATCCTATAAATGGTGCAAAATTACTTTAACATGTGAAAGAGCTACTTATCTGCATTTTAAAATCAAGGCACTTGATCTTAATTTGTGTTTCTATGACCTTTACAATTGAGAAAGACAGGTTTCTTTCTTAGTACTCTAATGCTGTTGTCGTAAGTATCTGAAGAACTTCATAAAACACAAAAACTTAATCATGTACTGTAACATTTATAGCCTCTGGCTTACTATGGCATTGTCAAAGAATTCCAATGAGATAACTCTTACTGTAGTAGATGGATTTGAGAAAGGGGGGAAAGAAGGGAATTTGCCCAGGAACAAATTGTGGTTTTCTAGGTTTCTGGTACCTGGCTTCTTAACTGCTTTCAAAAGTCTCCTAGACTCTGTGATAATTAATGCCTTGGTACATGCCTGTTATATCATTAAATATCATTTGAAAGGTTCCTGCTGGAAAAGTTTTTTGAACAATGTTTTTCACTCTTGTCTCTCTGTGTGCTGATGTCTCTAGCAATTAGCAAAACTTGTACTTTTATTCTATAAGAAATATTTTTTTCTTGAAAACAAATTTATGAAAAGATAGCAATATAATGTTTGAGTGACTATAAAAGGAAGTTTCTTGTCTCTTGTCATTTTTTAATAAATGTATGAGTACTTTATGCTTAATGGAAGGTGGCAAAAAAGCTGTGATACTATGATAATCGTACATCTGTTCACCTTTTATTTTTCCTTTCCTGACTCCTTTCTGTCTCTAAATAATTAGGAATCTTCCAGGCTTTTATAGTGCTACTATTGTTATTAAATATCCGCTGGTTAAATGTCCACTGCTTGCTCTTATTTTGTTTGTTTAGTCTCCAATTTCCTATCAGCACTGGCGCACCGGCGGTTTCCTTGCATGGTAGCATAGGGATTTTGGCCTAATAAGGATGTAGCCTAATAGATCATCCTTTTCTTGTCTTGTTTGTCTTGCTTTCTGGTCTTTCAGCAAGACCAGAATAGCAATATCATATTGCTATGATATTTCCTTCCTTCCAGAAGCAGGAAGGAAGGATTCATGCTGTGCGTTTTAACCGTTTTCAAATCTACTTTATTCACCTTGGAGAACTTTTTGTTGTATTACGTTGACCAATGACATTTTGTCTGTCTTCTAGTTTGGACTTAAGTTAAATATTCAGTCACTTTCTGCACTAGAGTTATGGGGTAACCATCATTTAATTCGCACTTGGAAGCTAAAAGCTGGGTTTCAAATCACTGATCTTATTTGTTTTGTGCTTGATGGTTTCTAAAGAAGTTTAATTTGTATTTTTTCTTTGGTATTTGTTTCCTTATACCTTTCTGAAAATTTTTCTTTAGTTTCCTTGGATTGCTGTTATTTTCTTTTTCTCCATAGTGTTTATTTTATATTTTTCCTTTCCAGTATTGTAATCAGTACCAGAGCTTCCTTCAGTATTTATCAGCATCATTTTTAGCATACTCATCTAAAAATATTTCTACTTAACAGATCTGTGAAGCTCTTGAATCTCCCCACCAGCCTCCGACCTCACAAAATGAAAAGTTTGCTTGGTCAGAATATGTCAACCAAAAGCCCCTTCATATATTCTCCAATTATTGCGCACAGTCGTGGTGAAGAACGAAATAAGAAAATAGGTAAGAATATTTTACAGTATTTTCAGTCTTTTTGCTAAGTTGTAAAATGTTTTCTCAGCCAAACTGAAACTGAATATTGCTTTCTTGTATTTGAATTAATCAGCTTGCCTGACATTGTGAAGAAGCAGAGCTTTGGTATCTCAAGTGACTTTTGAACCCATGGGAGGTTTTCAACCGAATTCAAAAGGAGGATGAACTCTTTTTCAGAGGAGATAAACTAGTGGTGTTTCTTTCTCAGACAAAAAGAAAGAAGGCAAAACTTTGTTCTTGCACGTTCTGTTTGGCAGCAGCCAGCTTGGCCACTTGTCATGAGCTAGTGCCTGAGCTGGATGCCGTGTTTCGTTTTTCTCTTTTCTGATGGGGCTATTACCGTGGACATGAAGAAGTTAGGATGAATGAGCTGCAGCTTCAGGGGCAAAGGATGCAAAAACATAGGAAACTGGATTGTGGTAGTTCATCACCCATAGAAAAAGTTTCTCTCTTTGGCTAATAAATTAGGTTAGATCACTGGGTTTTTAAAATTGGTTGTCAACTTGCTATCTCTTACATGGAAAAAAAAACGTACCTAGTGATTTACCTTAAACTCAGAATCATTAGCTGTCTCAAAGACAGTTGAGCAAAAATCCCAAAAGCCTACAAGCAATGTTTAGGATACTATAGTAATTTTCTTTTAGAAGATTGTTTAATTTGTTAAAGCACTTAAGTCCAGTAATCGTGCCTACTGGAAATAGACTAAAAGGCTTGTTTCCAAACCTGGATTAAGTTACAAATATGGGTAGTCTTACCTGTTGCTTTTGTGCGTATCAAATGCATGATATTTTCTTAACATAATCATTAATGTCAGCACAAAAGGACTTGCGTGGCTGTGGAATAGAATTGATTGTAAAACCTTGAATATAGAAATTTGCGGAAGAGTGTTTATGTTAATTTGGCTCATTCCCTTACTGTTGGTTTTTAGTTCTGTGTAGCCACTGGTGGGAGGAAAGAGTAGAAAAAACAGTGCTTTGAAATATCATCAAGGTTTCTTAGATTGTCTATATCATGCTTTGAATCGTAATCAAACACAGATCAACATCACTAATGTTCCAACTAATTCTTCCAGTGGGTACTGCAGGAATAAGTTAGCAGAAGCTTGCGAATGGGACAGGAGCGTGTGCTCCTCAGGACCTGAATTTCATTTCTTGTCCCCCTTCCAAGTGCGAACGCATGTGAGAGAGAGGGAGAGCGTTTTCTGATTCCCGCCTCTTCCCTTTCTCTTCTTCCTTGTAGTGTATTTGTGAGCTATGTTGTTCTCTAGGGCTTCTTTTTTTCTTCTTGCTGCTCTCTTCCCCTTCCCACAGTCCGTGCTCCTCTATTTTTAAAACTGAATTAGCTCTAGTAGTGTAGCAACGATTTGGCTTGTTTGTCCGGATTGTATTTGGCTTGCAGAGCCTGTCATTGGAGTCTGGCTCTGTGATTGCTCTGTAATGCACAGGGCTTCAGTCTTTTTCCACACTGCGTGCTAAGTTAGCTGTTGGACTTAACTGCCTTTGAGGTGGACCCATGATTAGGTTTAAGAGGATAATCTCCGCCTTGAGAAAAACATGCACAACTTCCAATTTGTTTTATGATGATGTGTGTTTTCAGTGAGTTGTTGAAACATATGGATTATGAAAAACGCAGAAAGGGATTATTGTTTGGCAGGCTGGCTGGGCATGATTTAGTGCTGCTTTGCTGCAGTACTTTTTTTTTTTTTTGATTTCACAAGATGGCTAAGAAAGGATAAGAAATTAAAAATGTCTTTGTGTGAGAACAGCTTAAAGTGCTTTTTCTTTAAAGAAATGGTATTCCTTTGGAAAATGGTTCCCATTTGTCTTACTAATTTCTTAAAAAAAACTCAGTTCATTATTAAATTTTTAACATTTAATCTCTTAAGTGTACCCAGTCATAGTTTTTTATTAAAGTAAAACGTTATTGCTAATCTTGTCAAATAGTTGTTTTATGTAGTATTCACGTTCCTTGGTGGATACAAAAGGGAACCTGTGTTTCTGGAAACTTCAGATTAAGATTTTGTTATGTTCTGTGTGCGCCATAGGAGGTTTGTATTATACAGGGCAGTTTCTCCTATTAGGATTTATTTAGGCCAAGGAGATGTTTGAACTGCTTGTGATCATGCAAAGTGTTAGTTTTTGCCATATAAACAGCATGTATTCACTTTCAAAATAGCCTCTAATGTTCAGTTCCAGCTCTCGCAAACAAAAGAACATGCAGAACAAAAACAGGTATTTCCGTTGCAAGAAGCTGAGGAATTTAACATACTTTCAAACTAATCAAAACGTTGGATAGATTTAAAAAAATAAACAAGCCAACAAATAATCTGCCTTTTTCCATTGTGGATAGTAGTATGTATTTTTTGGCTCTTCTAAACGACTGGTAGTTCACTGAAGAGTTTGCAGATAAACTTGGCTTATTACCTGGTGCATTTTGTATCTATAATAAGCCGTATTTCGGATGAATCATTGTTGCAGCAAGGGAGATCGAGTATTGCTGACAACAAAAGGCAAACAAAGCCCTTTAGAAAAAGTCTTAGGAAAATGCTTTCAGCTTTTAAGTTTTCAAATGGATAAGCTTTTCTGATTTGAAACAATAAATTGGATTATTATATTCTGGTTAAATTGCTTTAATATCAAGCTAGTTATGAGAAATAAGCCCACTGTTTTTTGACATAGTTAAAGTGATTTGTGTTATAAAAAGCTGATAGTCTAAAGCAGCAAGAATGTATAATATAGTTCCATTAGAAAATCTTGCAACTAATCTGTCATAGTTATATTACAGCTTATGTAAATACAGCTGTTTGCCTAGGACTGCATAACCCAATTTTATCTTCCTATTCAAAAGCTTTTCCCCCTAGGGAAGCAATTCTTTAACATCGCCCTGGTGTCTGTTATACAGGATAGATAGACCTTCTGGAAAGGAAACCAGAGTCAACTGTTGAGCCCTCTTGAAGCGAGGGTGTCTCTTTGACGGTGGTGAGGAGTAGTCCCATTTTACTGGGGGAATGATAACGCACAATGCATATAATTTGTGTCTACAAATAAATTTTAGTAGTTTTGTAGGGAGGTATTCTGCACAGAGGAAGGGGTCAAAAGTGCAAAAATGAGGAAAGCAGCCTAGAATCCTTTCTTAGTGGGAGAAGTTTGTGCGTCCTTAGTTTAGAGGAAAACTTAGAATGATGAAGCAATGAGTCTCCAGCGCGTTCTTCTGGTAACTCGCTTTTCTTTTTGTATGTAGTTGTATATTTGTCTATTGGATGAATTTTCAAAAACGGACATGCTGATTGTATAGTGGTCCTCCTAACCTGGACATTACTATAGTTCGCAATCACTGAAGTGCCTATCTCCGTTGAAACAGTTAGCTATAATGGGGGTTCAGGGCTTAAATATCTTTGAAGCTCTGTGCGATAGCTTTTTAGAGGAATAACTGATTCTTTCGGAAGCAGAAAATGCAGACAACTTTTTGGATGATAATAAGCAAGCATAGAGATGAAATTCAACAAAACATCCTATACAATTGCACTTTTGATCATTTTGTTTTAATCAGTTTTCATTTCCAGGTTTCATAGGATTATAACCTGTTCATATCTCAGAATATTTTTTTTTTTTAAAATTCCACTTCCATTGGAGTTAAACATTCACATTAAGAACATCTCCCCTGAGCTCTCTAATATTGCTTGCAAAATTGGAACCACATAGTAAACGATTGTGAATGTGTAATTAGAGTACGGACGGTTTTAATTCTAAATTACAGTCTTAATAATTGTTGTTTATACAGGACACTTCTAATATCCTTCTAAAAAAGTCTTAACAGTTTATTAAGATTATTGAGTAAATTAGTTAAAAGTTAATCCATGTATGTTATAGATTAGATGATGATCATGTTTTAGTGAATCTATTTAACAACCATTGTTAAACCGTCTTTTGTTTATTAGGACTGCAGGTCCTCAGCTGGTGTGGAGAATATTATGACATTCAGTTTAAAGCCTGAATGCTATAGTGGATGTGGTTAGCTATGAGGAATTTGGAAGGTAGACAGTAGCTTCTGGACTGAAAAGCTTATGAAATGCTCATGTAAAATAATCTTTCTGCAGTGAATAGTTCCTCAGAAATGGCATCTCTGCTGTTGACCTCATTTCCTTAAATTTCTTACCTCCTAAAATTAAAAAAAACAAAGATTTAAACTTAGCAGGGTTAAGTGTCTTTAAAGCTTAACCTCTGTCACTGAACAATTGTAATGAGATATAAATTGTAAGTACAGCGTATTTTCTGATCTCTGCTCTGGTCATGTGTCTTTCCTAAGTGTTTTCAGAGGTTACCTAATAGTTTGCTTTATTGGTTAAGTCTCCATTTTGTGAATCTCAGAAAAATAAATATGTGTAGATACACATCTTAGTGTCATCTTCCCCAGCATTCCCCGCACTTGCTGTTTCTCACAGAAAATAAATAGGAAACTAAGGTAGCATCTTGCTGGTGAGCAGACTTTTTCTCCTCGAGAAGTAAATGAAAGAACATTCTAAATGACTATCAGCTAAATATGTATGAAGATATATTTCCATTAACTGTTAATTTCCTCTTCCCTGTATTGTTCACTCCGTATCTGATGATTGCTTTTCATCCGAGTCTTGATTATACAAGATGATGTGTGGTCTGTACCGAAATCCAAGCATGTAAGCTTTTAAGTGTTTAGCATTAAGGACGTGCTTGAGTACTACTTTGAATTGATGCCTGAGTTAATTTTGCCAATGTAATATTGGCACATTGGGGCTTGGGAACACTGCAGCCGTATTAATGAACTCTTCCAGTCCTTTAACCCATCGCTCCGCCTGTGATTTATAGCTTGTGTCCCTCAATGCGCCTGAGTCGGGACTTGGGTTGTGGAGGTTATTCAGGGATCTTAATTTAGAACATAAAGATAATATAGCAGTCTGGCAGCTCACCTGATGCTACTTTTTTATATAATCATTTGGTATAGACTTCCAGTGGGTCCAGGGAGATGTGTGTGAAGTTCAGCTGATGGTGTACAACCCTATGCCTTTTGAGCTCCGAGTAGAAAACATGGTATGTATCTTTCTAAATTTTCCCTTTTTATTGTTCTGAAAAATTTCTCAATCCTTTTCTAAGTTAAACTTTCAAATGTGGCTTTCTATATATCACATAGTTTAAAAATTGCTTAAGCCAGTATAACCTCAGTTTAACAATGCAGTAGTGCCAATTTTCTCCTTATATTTTGTGGTGGTGTTGAGATATTGAAATGAAAATCTTTGCCACTCAGCTTTACTGTTACACACTCCTAAATCAGCTCTGTACCTCTCTGAGCATTGACTAGAACTCGTGCTGAGTAACTTAAATGTACTGATTTTCAAGTAATAACCGTATCCTGAAACGTAATGGTTAGAGTATTCTTCCTAATGCAGTTTAGAAATCTGCATTCGTCACAGCTATTTAAATCCGGATTTTGTCTACCTTTTTTAAAAACTAGGAATTAATTTTAATTACTTCTAAGAAACTGTGCTTTTTAATGGAAACTTCAGCTCATGGATCTGCTGTTCCCAAAGATTATGTTACTGGAAATACAATAATGTACAGTGATCAGGAGGGAGAAAAAATGACTAAAATACCAGGCAAGAATGAGAGGTTAGAAGGGAATCTCTTGGTCAAGCCCAAGGCTTCTGCTCCTTCAGGCAACTGTATGATATTCTTTGTGGACAGCTTGAATTGTATCCTGAAACAAACTAGTTTGTTTTTGTCCTCTTTATACCTACTGGAGGTACTTCTTAAAATTGTGATCTGTTTAATGGTTAGAAATCTCCTAATTGCCAATCCAATTGCATATCCACTCACTCCTAATCTAGTGTTTAATAATTTTACCCTTTTCTCAATATTTAATATTACTTTTAAAAATAAATCATGTATTTTAGAGCCCATCGTTCTGTTCGGCTAACTGAATAGGGGTATATATATTTGCTCAGTATTTTTGATTATTTATTGATAGATCTATTGCTGTAGCTAGTCAAACAGTTTGATAAATAACTAACTGACTCATATGCTATATATAATAAAATATTTTTCCACTGGGAGCAAACACACCCAGAGGTTGTGTTTATAGCATAATAAAATTCACTTTTGGGAGTTACCACTCTGATCGCTTTAGTAGCGTTTTATCTGACACTCAAGGAAATATCCCAAATTGTTAAGAACGACTAGAAAAATTAATTCTACAGTTGTATCTCAAAGGCAACACTCTAAAGGAATTAATTTATTTAAACAAATTTTTATTTATAGTCTAAATTGTACTGTGTAACTAATCTTGTAATTATATATTTAAGAAATTGGCATTGGCTAGCTTACCCCTAGAATTTCTTAATGAGGAATTGAATGAAGGCTTGCATACAGTTAAGAACTGCAAATACAGTTATTTACATGGATGCATGCTCCATCTGGAAACTGAGCAAATTAGTTGTAGCAGCACGTGTACTTCTTTTTCTTGTTGGTGTCATAAGGCTCTGTCTTTGAAGTAATACTCTATTTCAGTTTGATTGGTAAGCATAAGAGGAAGAATCAAAAATATTCCATCTGAACCTGAGAAAAAACTTCTTCACTGTGAGGGTGACAGAGCATTGGAACAGGTTGCCCAGGCTCTAGGTGACCCTGCTTGAGCAGGGAGGTTGGACTAGATGATCTCCAGAGGTCCCTTCCAACCTCAACCATTCTGTGATTCTGTAACGCATGCAAACTAGGTACAAATAATTGAAACGGTTAACGATTCTTTAGTCAGTGCTCTATAAATAGAGTGCCTTGAGAAACTCGGCTGTGCATTTATGTCATCTCATTGGTACAAATTAGTTTGATTTTTGCTTGATTTGTCTGCATTTACCAAGAATGTAGCCAGCAGGTTGAGGAAAGTAATGATTCCCCTCACTTTGGCAGCTGTAACAGCACATCTTTAGTACTGTGCCCACTTTTGAGCTCCCAGTATAACAGAAACCCTGATGTACTGGAGTGAGCCTGGCAGAGCGTTAACAGGGTGGTTAGTGCACTGGAGCATCTGACTGATGAGGAGAGGTTCAAAGAGCAGCATTTGTGCAGTCTGAAAAAGCGAGGACTAGTGAGGGATTCGTACTGCTGCCTTCAGCTACATAATGGGAAGGTGCAGTGAAAACAGAGCCCGACTCTTCCCAGAGGTGCACAGTGAGAGTCAACGAACAAGTTGCAGCAATGGCAATTCTGATTAGGTATTAGGAAAACTTGGTTTTCTTTCCCAACCTTGAGGGTGGTCAAACATTGGAATAGATTGCCCAGAGAAAATGTGGGGTCTGCATCTTTAGAAAGATTGAAAACTTGACTGGAACGGACCATGAGCAACCTAATCTAACATCAAAGCTGGACCTGTTTTGAGCAGTGGGTTGGACCCCAGGGCCTCCAACGTTTTCTTCCAGCCTAAATTGTTTTCATTCTGTGAGTTATCACAAGAATAAAATCTTTTGTTTTTATTTTAATAATTCAAGGCACCGTTTAATATTTTAAACTGTTTTGGTTTATTATTAATGTATACTCATGCCTGCAGTCCACATGCCTCCGTGTTGTCTAATATTTCATGGTGTGTCACCTTCTTTAATGTTATTGTAGACTCACAGAGTCACTTTCATAGCGATCGCATTCTTTTATGTCATTCAGTGGCACTTTTGGCTTGTCTATCCCGTAAACTTAAAGTCTTTAACTCTGACTCAGCACCTTACCTTTGTCGTATGACCACTCCTTCACCCTTGTTTTCAATAACTGGCAGTTCTTTGTTGAATTCTCCTCTGCTAAATTTCCTTTGTTGTTTCCCCCTTTCGTGGTTCACCATTCATCAACGTGCAACTCTTCTGAAATCGATAGTCTTATTCGGTCATCTTTCGGCTTAGGGTTTGTTGTTATATTGGCTTACTTGTTTTAAGTTAAATGAATGCTGGAAGCTTCAATCCGGACTTTTATCATGATACTTTTCCTAATATGTCTTTCTGATCGATATGGCTCGACGTTGTGTAGGTGAGCAACTTAATGCTGAAATACAGCGCAAGTTGTTAAGCAGAGTAATTCACCACTGAAAGCCTTCCCTTCCTTTTTTTTTTTCCTCTATCATTAAAAATGTTTATGTCAAGCTTGTGCAGTTTTATTGAAGTATGCTTAAGGAAAAATAACTGGATTTTTGAACTTGATACTAACACTGTGGAGAGGTGACTTAGTGATCAGTATCATTCACGTGGTGAGCTCTGTACTCGCTCAGAAGTTGGCATTTTTCTTTTTATCTTGGTTCAGAGCTCTTTGTGCCGATCTGCCTTGTTCTTGCTGTTTTCTCCCCCTGCTGTGCATGTCATGTCCATGGTTTTGGAGTATACTTAGATTCTTGTTCTTTATATGTGTCTCTTTTCTGTCTTTTTTTGTATCACGTTTTTCTTTTGATATAGTGAGAACTCTAATCCAACGGAAGGTGCAATTGTGTTGTTTGATTAAAAAAAAAATGTTTATCCGGGGAATATGGAGATGATTAGATCCAGCAACTATGTATTTTGGCCGGTAAAGCAAAGCAGGAAGGACTACAGTTGTCATCGGAGAGAGTGCCTTAGTTAAACCTTAGCAGGTACCTTAAGTCAGCATACTGAGAGAGATGCAAATAAGTCTAATTATTTTATCTTAGATGAATTAGAATATTTTTGCTGTCCTGGTACTGGAACCAAAGTACAGAGAAGCTGTAATGCATATTTGGAAATAAGTGCATATACCACATTTTTCCAGGAATATTAGTTTGTGTTTAGATTTATTCAGGTATTCAAAGGCTAGCCTCTACCTTTCTTGTTGTTACTAAGCCTTTTTTATGCCCAGGAAAGACTGGCCTTCAGATTTCAGGCCTTCAGAAAAAACACAAAAATTCTGGGAAATCTCTATTCAGTTTATTTTGTACCTTGGGAAAAAATGTTTAAGACTGTAAATCATGGTAAAATCTACTGATATCCATGATTAAATAAAATGTGCATGAAGATGCAGTGCTAAGTGTCTTAAATCATGTAAGATTTTAACTACTTTTTTCCTCTTTATTTTTCAAATTTTATATTAAAGACAAATGTGCCTTAATATTATAAGACAGGCCCAAGAAATTTGAGGGGAATTTTTTATTTATTGTGTGAAGCCTTTTTTCTTTATTATGGGAGTGGTTTAGAAGTATATTCTGGTTAGTCACGGAATCACAGAATGGTTGAGGTTGGAAGGGACCTCCGGATCATCCTGCGCTTATTGTAGAAAATGATTCTAAGAAGGCGGTGATATAAACAGAATAGTATAAACTGTATTTAATAAATGAATTCTGAGAAAATAAAAAGTATTACCCCAAAACAGTACCTGGCAGTAAAGTAATTTATTGTATTGAAGCCCGTTATTCAAAAAGAAACTCTTTGTTCTGCAGTTTTCCTTCTCTTTGGTATGTATATTTATTTGATAGCAATACAAGTGTATTATTTTGATTAATGGTGGTATAGGAATAGCTGTTAAACTATTTGTAAACTTCAAAACTATATTATTTACCAAAAGCTCTTTCAATATTGATGTTTAAAAATAACATCTAAAATTGTATCTGTCAACTTGATAAATCTTTGTGTATAATCAGTCCCATGATTTAGCGCGTGGTCGTTCAACTTGTTTTCGTGAACTGCTCTTTAGTGAGTTCACATCTTCGTACTTTTTCTGCCATCTTGAGAGAACATTTACTTACTGATACATTAAATGGAATTGAAGATCCACTGGGCAAGAATGTACACAAAAGAAAGAGGGGAAGATAAACATGGTCATGTTTCATGTTCTTTAAGGTCCGCCTCAATTAACTTTACTAGAAATAGTAGGAAAAACCTTTTTTTTGTTTGTTTGTTTTTTTAATAAATGTTTGAGAATGTTAGTGAACATTGTGTAAAGTGTGCTTAATAGGAAAACTAACTTAGTTGTCGGTGTTACTTGGAAAAAAGAGTGATTGCATTTCAGAATTAGTAAGTAAAGCCTAAAAAGGCAATTACATACCCGTGTAGTTTTAA